CTTTTCCCTCTCTCTAGCCGACTCCCTTCTCTATTTCTTGAGTTTAATTCAGCCAAGAAGAATAACAAAGAGGGTATTTGAGTGTATAGTGCCCCACTAAGTCATAATATAATAATATAGAGTAATTGGGCACTAATTCATCAATTTAATCAGCTTAATCTGGTCCGAATTAATTTTTCAATTAAACTTCACCGTAGGCTCTAAAAATTACGCTATTCACAATGGTGTAATCAATTTCGGGTTTCGTGGCCGATAAGGCCTTCAATTTAATTTCCAAAGCAGATTATTCAGACAGATATTCCTACGGTGAACAGATAGAAACCCAAAATCACATACATTTACATAATGGCATACAAAATCATGTTAAACACATAATCATATTCAAATTAAGGACCAATTAGCATATTACGGAACAGGGGTATCACAACAACGTAATAATCTCAATCCACAAATTGTTAAGTATGACATTCTATCCATAAGATATGAGTTTATAATTCAGCTTATGAGACAACAAAAATAAATTTAGTGAGTGTATCTAGAAGTCGTTAAAGCCTCTACATATGAGTTAAATTTACAAAATTACTACTGCATAATTTCAAGATTCAATAACTAAATACAAATAGTAGAGTTATAACAATTCCGGTTTAGACTCGACCCTTTTCATGTTCTTAGTTCCGGGATATGATACTTTTATTATTGTCTATAATCCTTTTTATCTTGTTGTTATTCGGATTTAGTTGTTTGGAGTTGTTGGCTATGTTTGAAACAGGTTGGGAGTTAGTTTTTCCAATGAATTATTGTCTGTTTCTTTTTTTGTTCACTCGAGTAGTGGTTTAGTCGCTCAAGCGGTCTTTAAGATCTCTCACTATTTTTGTAGGTATGCAAAACTTCTGGCAGTAGGGTGATCTTCGCTCAGCAATCCTTTCTTTGCTCGAGCGGTCTTTTGCAATCTGCAGAACTTCTGCACGGGAGTCATTGTGCGCTCGAGTGGTGTTTTGGTTGCTCAAGCGGTGTTTTGGTTGCTCAAGCGGTGTCACTTATTTGTGTCTGATGCTCGAGCGGTGGTTTAGTCGCTCGGGCGGTCTGCACGAATATCAGATCGGGGAGAAGCACTTTTTAGTTACTTTTTCATTCCCCTCTCTCTCTCTCTCTCTAAAACATTTCTAAACCTAATTTCTTCACTCTCTCTCTCTCTTTAGTTCTTGCCTACACACCTCAAATACACCCAAATCCATTGATTTCTCCACCATAGTTCCTTGGAGAAAAAGGTAGAGCTCGTTGAAAGCTTTGTTTTAATTGGAGAAGATTTTGTTTTCGGCTTCGTTAAACTTCTACTCTTTAGTGAAAGAGAACGGCTCTTATAAACTTGAGGTGGTGATTTCTTTAACCTTTTGTATGATTCTTAGCTTGGTTATTTGTTCCTTAAAAAGGTCTAGAGATTTGGGGTTTATGGGTTTGAATCTAAGGTTTTGATTTAGGGTTTGATTTTGAAATGTTAAAGAAGGGTTTTTCAAATGGGTTCTTGGAAAATTTTGTGGAAGTGGAAATATTGTTGAGTTGTGTTGAAATGCTAAAAGTCCACTTTTTAAATGTGGTTGTGAAAGAAAATGATGTTTTATTGTAAAATCATTGATGTTTGATTTATGAAATAAGAAGAAAAGATGTTGAGTTTGAAAAGATAAGATGACGGTATCTGTTGATGATGAGAATGGAGTTGGATATATATATTATTACATCCATTTTGAAATTTACGAGATTATACCTATTGTTGGAAATTTATTTGTTGAGTAGAGATATATGTTTTGGGCTATCGATGAAGGATAACTTTGATTGTTGTAGAAATTGCATGAGGATTATGTCATAACCCGAACTCGCCCTTATGGATTAAGGTCATAACTGGCCAGTAATTAGGGGAATACCTACGGCCTCCAACCTGATTAAACATATTTCAACAGAGTTAAGGGGCCAAGGCGGAAGCAACTTAAAAATTTTGTCCATAGAGCTATGCTTACATGGCACGTCAAAACATTTCATATGTACTCATTAATAACCCACATCAAAAGGGAAATAACATAGAATTTTTTTACACAACAAGATCATTCGAGTCATAGTTAGCCAAACCAAAAGCTTATGTACATGGTGATCTAACATTTTCACCATCTCGTGTGTGAGACGTTTGGGTTGACTCCTCAAAACTTTGACTTTTTCTCACATATTTCACTGAGGCTGTGTTTGGACATCTCTTGGCTCACCTACATAAACATGAATGAGAGTGAGCGAAAGCCCAATGAGTAATATCAAATAAAGAAGGTACATGAATGAAATTCGAAACAGATATATCAAACGGCCTTAGGCCCATTCATGTTTCTATTTGGTACATTAAATGACTTCAAGCCCGAACATATCAAATGGCCTCGCCACTTCGTCCTTAACAAACGGTCTTGGGCCCAATTCATTCATGTCAAACGGCTTCGAGCCTAGTTTCACTCTTGTCGAACGGGCTTTGGCCCAATCATTCATGTCGAACGGCCTTTGGCCCAATTGTTCATGTCAAACGGCCTTTGGGCCAATCATTCATGTCAAACAACCTTTGACCCAATCGTTCATGTCAAACGACCTTTGGTCCGGTTTCACTCTTGTCGAACAGCCTTTGGCCCAATCATTCATGTTGAACGGCCTTTGGCCCAATTGTTCATGTCAAACGACTTTTGGCCCAATCGTTCATGAAATGCGCATTTCGTACTTGAGATCATAATCACATCATAATCATAATTGTAATCCAACGGCCTTATCCAATCATATAGCGTAACGAATATTTGTCCACAATTCAAATTAACAAACTTATAAAACTCAAATAGGAGTAAACAATTGGACAAATAGTATACTTCAAAATATCTTTACTAAGATATTACTCACAGTGTTCTGCCGATGGATCCGTCCTTGTGCTCGACCCGACACATTACATAACACATATTGGGTCACAAACGATTCAATCCGTTCTTAATTTATTTCTTCTCTTAGGCCTCTTTCTTATCCTTTTAGGTCATATACAAAGCTCAATGCATGCCTAAGAGTGCTTAGAAATGGAAGAGAACAGAAAATGAAACTCAAAACAACTTTTTTAAATTTCTGAAACAGGGCTCTCCGCTCGAGTGTGGGTTTTCCCGCTCAAATGGACCCCTTTGGTCTGCAAAAGTACTGGTTGCCTCATTTTAGTGCTCGAGCGTGACTTTGGACGCTCGAGCTGAGAGTCAAAACATGTGATTGGGCGCTTCAGCGTGACTTTTCCTGCTCTAGCGGACATCAATGTCTGTAAAACTTCTGGGAGATAACATTTCATGCTCGAGCGGCGAATGCCTTGCTCGAGTGGACTCGATGAATTCTGGAATTCCCAACAAGCTGCTTGAGCTTTAAACTTGCATTCAAATTGATGTAACTTGCTTGTTATGACCCATAACTCACATGTACATCTACTAACATGATACAAACACTAAATTTACAACATTATGAAGCTCAATTCCCATGAATCAATTATTACATGCATACCCAATTATACCAAACTTATGCCCAATACATCAAATTAATGCACCCAAAACTCATACCTCTATGAATTGTGCATGTATATGGAATATAACTCCCATTCTCAACTTAAATGATGTAAATGATGATCAAGGGCATGAATCTTCATCAAAATTCAACATGGATCACATGTTTCATGCTTAAATACACAAATTCATGGCAATCTTTTACATGCATGTTTATAATGACTTCAAATTCACCAAATTCAACTCAATTTATGTTCATGATTACAATTTGTCTTTGAGTTCACATAATTACAACTCAAACTCATGAATTCATATCTAATTACTCACCTAGAGGCTCCAATCTTCCAATTTCTATTTAGTTTTTGAGCCTAGCCTTTCAAATCTTGAATTCCCTTGCAAAAATCTACAAAGATGGCCTCTCTCTCTCTCTAAACTGGCCCTATCTCTCTCTAGAGGGTAAAATATGATTTGCGCTCAAAACAATATGAGCTTAAGCATACTTAGCTCATTTATATTGGTCTTCTCTAATTACACTTAATTAGAGCTAATTAATGGTGCCCAATTGATTCAATTTAAAATGAAAACTTTAATTAGTTTTGGAGCTTTCAAAAATAATTTTCTAACTTTCAATATGTATTTTTTGGTTTTTAGTGAATTTTTAAAATATTTAAACTATTTTTTTTAGATACACTTAAAAGTACAAATTTTATGAAAAAAACCCTTTAAAAATCGCTAAATAAAAAATATAGAAAATTAGTATATTTTGTATTTATTGAATTCTTTTTAAATTTTTTACAAATAATTTACTTTTTAATTATATTTAGTTTTGAAAATTCAAAACTTCTTTGATTATGAGTTTTCAAATTAGTTTTTGAGTTGTATATTTTCAAAATAATTTTTTAGAAAATTGAATTTAAACTTGTTTAGTTATGAGTTTCAAAATTTCAATTTTGAGTTTTTTTGAGTCTTGTATTTTTTTGTCTTGTAGTAAAAAACTTTTTTGCAATATTATAGTCAAATTTGTTTATTTTTTTCATATATATAATCTAATTATGCTTTTTAGATACATTTAATTTAATCTATACGGTAAAATTCCACTCTGTATCTGATCTAACTATCAGATCTAACTGTACTCAAGCCACATGCATTTAAAGCGTTTCAAATTTATGAATTTTTTTTTATAAAATTACTGAATAATAAGAAATATACAAAAAAATATAAAATAAAATTCAACAAGTTTAAAAACTAATACAAGTTTAATGTTTTAAATGATTTATGTTAAAAAGGTGTTTCAAAACTAGGGTTTTGGGCGTCAAAACTTATACGTGAAAACCCAAAACAAATAGGTTTTGGATTTTGGTTTTGGGTTTAGGAAAATAGATTTGAAATATATGTTATGAAAACCCAAAAAGAGACAAGTTTTAAGTTTTGGGCTTTAAAAAATGAATTTGAAAATTGAACCAAACAGGCTCCTATATTCATTCATGTTAAGTATGATATTTCATCCATAAGATAGAGGTTTATAATACATCTTATAAGACAACAACGATAAATTTAGTTAGTGTATCTAGAAGTCCCTTAAGCCTCTACATAGGAGTTAAATTTACAAAATTACCACTGTATATCATTAGCTTTGCCTGGCACACTAGGTTTTGTATCTTGGCAATCCATCACACTCTACCTCTGTGAGCAACGCTCCAACCCACTACTGTGATCACCCAGACCCCTAATCTCCGTTTCTCCATTTGCTCCATCTCTACCATTTCCATCTTGTAAGTCAACTTCTACTGCATCATCTTCCACTCCATCAACAGATAGAGCCTCATCACTAAGAGCTGATCTATCAGTATCATCTCTTAAACCACTAGAATTTTTTTGTTGCAAGTCTTCAAATGCTTCGCAGATTTCCTTCACAGCTCGAGCGGAGTGTTTAACTGTTTTACCTTGGCATCGAGCTGACAATTTATTTTTCGCCTCACTAGTAAATGCCTGAATATCCACAGGGGCAACAAAAGCTCTGTAAAAGGCAAACCAAATTAAAATCTACAATCAGTAGAAATTTATAAGCAACAAAATACAAAGGGCAATGGGTAAATTTAAAAATAAAAATAAAAAGAAAAAGAAAAAGAAAAAAAACTGCAAACACACAAACTTGTTTCATGTAAATCTAACAAATTTTGAACTTACCATTAATATCCCAAAACACTGAAACAAATACATGACAGTTGTTTCAGATTCAGCAAAAATAAATAAATCGTCAATTTTATATAAAATGACCACAAGGAAATAAACTTCAGTTTCTCATATTTCAACTGAAACACGGAAATATATGCATTTGACCACAAATAATATGCCCACATTAACAATTAGGTCACGTTATCAAGTGCACACAGACGCAGTTGCTACTTTATCAGGGCAACTAGACAAGCATCAGCTGAAATTTAGATATCATCAAATAATCTTACAACCAGAAGTGAAAAGTTCCACAAAAATAATGCCATTATGCAGCTGTTTGAAAGCACAAGCATATCAATTAGCCAATCTCTTCAGTTGTGATACATGCCTGTTGACAAAGAATATATCCATTTAACTAATTAAAATAAAAAATAGCTAATCAAAGAAATAGATCAACCTTCCTAATTACACAAAAGTTTACAAAGAACTTCAACATGGCACATTAAATTCTTGTAAATTTAGCAACAAAAAATAATAATAATGACAAAATCTATTTAACACTATGGACCCGGAGCACTTACAGCCCCACCACGTTTAAGAAAAGCCAATTTGCCCTAACACGGTTTTGGACTAAAGTGCTACCTTAACTCTATTAACATAAATATAAAAAGATGTTAATAACCTTGTCGTCGTCATCGTCTTCTTTTTCTAATTCTTCATTGCCAAAAAAAAAAAAAACAACATAGATTTGAATGCTGCATAGCCACCAGCAGGTGTGGCTTTAGAAAACCAGATTCTTCTTTTCGGACATTAAAACAAAGGAGAACATATTCATTACCCAAAATCCATAGCCTCTATCTCTTTCTAGAATTAACTCTTTGAACTAAAAATGGGATACATTAATGGCAGCAGCCGATGGAGAATCCCCACAACAGAACGTACCACCAAGGACAAAGAAAGTGATGTCAAACAGCCAGCACAAGAAAATAAAAGTACAAGCAAATAAAGGTCACACCAAAAGAAAATGAAAGAAATCATAAAATTCTTTGATCTCAGTATCAAAACTCAACTCAATTTAATATCATGGTCAGAATAATTCTGTTACACAATGACCTATAATAAACATCCAAGAAAACCTTAATTAAAAGTTACCAAAAATAAAACAACACAACTTCTAATTCCTGATTAATATGATAATATTGGGCATATCCAAAAAATCCAACTTTCCAGATTTCTTCAATTCTCTCCTCATCCAAAACCGTTTCTTGTCCTCATCAGAAAGTATATGGAAAGTCCAAACTTTTGAGCTCTGAAGTTCTAGTCTTTACAAGTTCATGATTCCCAAAGCCCCCAAAAATAGTAATTTTGGAAACAAACAGAAGTAGTGAATGGCTTCCCAAATAGGCTCCAATAAATCCAAAATTCCCAACAAAACTGCAATAAATGCAACTTGCAACATTTTATCAACAACAGAAAATCTGGGGAACTTTGTTAAGATGACCCCAATGTTTCACAACGTTCCTACACTAGTTACAGATGAACAACAAAAAGCAAAAGGGAAAAAAATAGCCACCAACATTGGACAAAAGTATAATTAGGAGCGCCACCCATCTAGAGAGACAAACTCCTTCAAAGGACATGGACTATTTAGAAATAACATTCACCAATTTCATATATATGTGTGTTTAGTTACAAATTCGCTTTTAAATAAATCAAATATCGTCATAAGATTGACTGCAACAGTTAATAGAGAACTTTGATCTTATATTCACAAGGCAATATCCATGCATAGGCGTATCTAGTACATTTTAAGATATGTTGCATGGTCTCGGAGGCAAGTGCATCCAAATGTCAAACCTTCATAAACCTAAAACTTAGGATATTAGGATATGTAGCCTAAAGTTGGATTATGGGTACAGGGACACATCATAAATACTTATAAACATTACATATTGTACAATATTCTTAGATAAGATGTTATTAACTAAGTAGAGATGTACTTGAAAAAATTTAGGGAAAATACAAGGTCTTCATCTCTCATCTATGTGAAGTGCTAGAAATGTTTCTTCACTGGCAAATGTGAGTTTCTTCTTCATCAAACATCATAACAAATTAGAGGATCCAAGTATCTAAATTGTGAACAAGTGTCAGATAGATACACCACACCCTTACCCTTATCATATCCCATGGATACTAGTCCTTTGGGGTAAATAGAAGAGTCCATCCACGTAACACAAATTTAATATATGTTGTCCACTTTTTTTGCAAACTATCAGGTATTGAACATTAGGAGGACTCTGTATCAATCATAATTAGGTTACCAAACCTAGTTGACCCATCGACAGCATTTGAGCGGGACCTTTCTCATTCAAAGAGTTTATTATTACTATCTCAAGGAAAAGTGGATTTCATTCATCTTTTTACAGTGTGCTTCTGGAGACCAGGGCTAATTGAATGCAAGTTTTTCAGGAAACTCAAACTGCCATTAGAGGTGGCCAAAATAAAAGAAACGAATGAGATTATCCTACTAGGATTTCATTTCCAAAGTAAATAAATCAGTTACAAATTTTGATCAACTTGCTAAGCTAAACTTGACAATGAAAATTTTGTTTAGATTGTCATTTTACAGCTACTATGTAATAGCTATAAAAACCTTGAGAAGATTAAGTGGATTGCAAGGGAAGGTGATTAGCAAAGTAGTTTTTTTTTTTAAAAAAAAAAAATAGCTGATAAAATGAGAGAGAGAAAGAAAAGGGAGTGCTTCAAGCAGGAGTAGCGAGATAAGAGCCAAAGAAAGAAAGGAGGCCCGAAGGAGAGAGAAACCTAGTTACTGATTCTCAGGTAGTATAAAAATAAGCTAACACACCTAAACTAAAATTATTTATATTTACTATTACAATAAAAACCAAATACATGGATACACAAATATATAAGAATATCGCATATAGCTGGACCAGACAGCATAGAAGATACATTTTTAATTCTTCAAAAAAATGTACAATCTAAGACTGCCCCTCCACAGTCCCAAACCTAAATTACAAGAATACCATTAACTGTTTAACAAAGAAAAAATACCTAGCGTAGCCAGAAATTTGATTTAGTGGGGTCATTAATAAGTCATTATCAATATCAATATCAATTTTTTAGTTTTACAAAACTTATTAATGTCAACCATGCTTCTCATGATACGCTTTAATTTCATATATATTCCCAATAACATATTGTATTAGTATAATTATATTTTGTAATCACATACCAAAAGAGGAAAATGAAGCCTTGAGTATAAACTAAATTTTTTTTTAAGACGTGTTTGAATCTTAGATTTGGGGAAAGATTTATGAAAAAAGAGGAGATATGAAAAAAAAAAAAAAAAATTTGCTTATATCATTCATAGTTCCATTCTCTTTTATTTCCACGCCACTCCATAAATGCCTCTTTAAATTCAAAATTTAAACCGAAACTAAAAAAAATATCACAATTTTTTGTTTGTTTGGTTTGATTTTTCAAAAACTGTTTTTAGATGAGTTTTCATTTATTTCTAGTGCATGTTTTTATGATTTAATCAATTTTTTGTACTTTTAAATGTACCTAATCAATATGCATCTAAAAAGTACAATAAATTAGCTAAAATATTAAAAAATATCAATAAAACTAACGAAAATTCAAACGAAAATTTGTGTGCAATTTTGCTCGGGATTTAGTTTGTTTTTAGTGAATTTTTTTCATATTTTAGTTAAACTTTTTAACTTTTTAGATGCATCTAAAAAGTCCTTAAAAAAAATGACTAAAATATTTTTAAAAAAAAGTTTAGTAAAGACAAACGAAAATCCGTTTAAATATAGTTTCTGAAAATGTAAACATGAAATAAAACTTATGTAAAGTTCTTTTTTTTTTTCCAGTGGGCTCTATTGAACCCACTGACTTACATGCAGCCTCACCCCTGATTACAGTACTAGCAGCAGTACCGTCCAACACAAACACTGACCTACATTAGTCATTATCTTCATTAGGAAAAAGTCCAAATCAAACTATATACATAATCCTTAGGTTGCTTTGTTAACATGCTCCAGGTCATATCAATTGTGTTGGTGACATTCAAATACATAATCACTTAGTAGAACTAACTATTTTTCAAAACATATTGAAGGTATTTTTTAGAATTCTTACAAAAAACATTAAAATGAAATAAATTAAAAACTTGAAGAAGATCCCGTTGGGAAACCATTTCTCGTGGTTTTTCTCTTTTCTCAAAACTGTTGGCATGAGTTGTAAAATGAGAGTGAGTGTGGCATGAGTAGGATGATTGGAGGGGTGATGTTCTTTTGCTCATTTATTCTGATTTTAAATCGATGGCATACATAACGCCTCCACTTTTGTGTCAAACCCACTAACAGCACTCAAGGTCACAATCATGGCTCTCTACCGGTCCAGCAAAACTTGTTGCTCATGAACCAGCATATATTATTTTTTTTACCATGCTTACAACTTTGCAAAATCTTGTGCAATATATTACAATTTATAGGCCTTAACATGGAACCCAAGAGAACTCTACCTCCATATTAGCCATAAATTACTGGAGCCACAGCTTAAAGTCCAATGCCTTGACAATTGCCTATTTCTCTAACTAAATCATAAGAAATAAAGAAATCATCTTGTGCATAAATTGGAAATATGTTAGCAATCCATTTTAATTTGAATTCAAGTTCCATCCACTATAAAATCTTAAGACTTCTTCACATAAAAAACAAAATGTCAATAACCTTTCCAATAAGTATGGCACTGTGAGAAACCAATTCATTTAATATCTTCATAATGCAACCCAAACTAATTTCCCATTTGTTGTTCTTCCCGTAAGTTTTGTTGTTTCTTGTTACCAAATACAAAAATACCAAAGTACTCTACCATAAGTTTTTCAATGAATGATGCGAGTAATATTCCCTTGCACCAATTTGTATTTTCTTCAATAAGAACTTAGATTCCAAGCTAGTCTACACTAAAATTTTATGTTACAACATAAGGATGCATATAGCAATTTAAATAGCTTACTCCACATGATCACACATGGAAAATTGGGGGGCAAAACAAACACTTACATTTCTGCTGTTCCAAAGAATTGAACAAAATACTTCTTGGGGTCAGGAACTCGCTTCCAATCTTCCGGCCTGCTAATCTGAAGAAAACAAATTGATACCCAAAAAAAACGCCTCATAAACAAAACACTTAACTAAGCATCATAACCTATATTCCACATTACAAAATAGCAAATACATCAAATAAGGTAAATCCAAATGTGCGCAAAAACAACAAAGATGACACCAAATTCCAGCACACAAACAAATCAAAATTTTCATCATTACCCCATCCAACAAAAAGAACTTCCAAATCTACATCATCACATCAATCATTGACCAAACATGTTGCCACAACGAGTATCAAGAAACCAACTACCTCGCATATCTATGGAGCACTAAATATTCCCATTCCCACAAAATAAATATAGATGTTTGAAACTTCATCAACAATTTACAGGAACCTTTTTCTTGAAGAAGTGTAATTAATTTCATCCATTAAGACAGAAGCACATAGTTGAACAAAACTTCAAGCCTCCTTCCCCCAATGTCCCCCACCCAAAAGAAATAATAAAATAATCCCATGCCAACCCCCATCCAATTTCATAAAATTTTTGGGCAACTGAGCAACTCTCAAGCTTAAAAAACAATGTTTCTCAGAGGGCCGACCTTTATTGGTAATTTCAATGTGTTTTTTTCAGGAAAACAAAAAGTCTTTTAAGACTTATTCTGCGTCAAAATTTAAATAAATTCAACAACCTAAGTACCTGAAAACAATGCAAATACTGTAGGAGCCAATCATGTTCTAAGCAAAAGCCAATGCTCATCACCAAACACCAAACCAAACCCCATCTTAATTCATCCAACAAGTTTGAAAAAAGTCAGAATAGACATACAAAAGAACATTCTCAAACCAAGTCCAGATATCAGTGACAAACAAAATCGAGCACAAGTAAATGATACCTTGGAAACTAACCAAATTGCGATAGAACCTGACCATGTTCAACATTATGAAGCAAGGTAGCAAGACTTTAATATTTAGATTGATAAAGAATCACAACAAAAACAAACAATCAGTAAATCATATTAAATTCAATTATTCAACATCCATAAAAAGCAACTCAATAACAAATTGAGTGAATTACTAATTTAACCACGCTACAAACAGCCAAGCAACATACGGCAGAAAGCACGTTGAATTACTAAAATCAAACAAAGACAGCATGAACTCCTCACAATGGTTCACCCAACAAGCCAATACGAATGTATTAAGGAGATAAACATAGAAATTCCTATCGGACCTAATCTATTCTATTAGATAAAGCATACAACTCACTTTGGAGTGAACAACTTTTTGAAGCTTTGTCGTGTTACACAAACTCTGCAAAATAAATCAAATATCCGTGTCAGACATCCGACACTTAGATAATGGTGAGATGTGTCAGATACTTTTTCACTGGACACTTCTTATATATTTTATCTGTAACACTTTTATTATATATACACATATTGTCATATAATTATTATAAATGTCTTTTTGGCACTATATTTTACATATAACAAACCAAACCAAATCAAACCAAACCAAGCCTTAAGTCCCATCAAATGGGGTCGGCTACCATCACAGAGAAAAAAGAGAAAGAAGATAACTGTCTCTCCTGCTGATTTGGTCGAAGACCCCACTCATGAGGTAACTGCCAAAGCAGTAGAGGAGGAACATTCCAAAGAAATAATTATTTTTCAAAGAGTTGAGAAAAGGCAACAACAACAATTACTAAGAGATGAAGCAGCTGCCACTGATGCAACCCAAAGAGAAACAATGAGAAGGTAACACACTGCCGAGCATTATTCCCTCCATAATTCTCCTGTCATTGCCACCACCTCTGAAACCAGTAATTTCCTTGCATGTCTCCACTTTCTTTTCCCAAATTGTTGATATTGAGACTTAAAATTGTTTTGTATTTCTTCTTTTGCAGCAACAACTATTATGCCTATTCTCTCAATAAGGACTCCCTCAGTTTCGGTTGAAGTTAATCAATTGCAGCATGTGAAGTCTATTCAAATAATACTCCCACTTCCTAGGCCTATATTCTCCGTACCCTCCTTGAGGCCAAGTATTCCTGCTCCTTTCCCTTCTAGCTTAACTCCATATTTCCCTCATTTGTCTTTTGATCTTTCTCAATTTAATTCTCTTTCGAGCCTTGCTTTTCCTCACCTTTCCAAGGAAATTCCATCTAACACTTCATCTTTGATGGTAACTGGTTCCCGTAGAGAAGGTATTGGTCAGTGTGAAGAGACGTGAGCCAAAGACAAATAACGGATCAAGAGACTTGGATTGACTACAGGCAAGACGGAAAGGGCTGGAGATCAAAGGAAGACGGGAAGGGCTGGAGATGAAAAGTCTCTTACCGGTAATGTATAGGAAAGTATCTTACAAAGGAAGACGGGAAGGGCTGGAGATGAAAAGTCTCTTACCAGTAATGTATAGGAAAGTATCTTGCATTACCGGTAAGAGACTTTTCATCTCCAGCCCTTCTCGTCTTCCTTTAATCTCCAGCCCTTTCCGTCTTGCCTGTAGTCAATCCAAATCTCTTGATCCGTTATTTGTCTTTGGCTCGCATCTCTTCACACTGACCAATCTAATGTATAGGAAAGTATCTTACCGGTAAGATAATTCTCTTACCGGTAAGATAATTTGCATTAAATACCCCCCCAAACCAAAACTACCGTTCAACCACTTCAGCCGTGCAACCGCACTGAAAATCATGCCTAATGGGACAGAAGTATTTTGGTTTGCTTTTTCCATTGAATTTATTTGGGGAGTTATTTTATATTTGTTCTGTTTACTTATGTACATAATTGTTAATGAAATTTATTTTAACAATTCTACATCTCTTGTTGATGTTGAACTTAGCAGATCTCCACCACCAGTGGTTCAATCTTCCGTTCTTGGTTCATATTGCAGTTCTCAACCACCAGTGACTCATTCTTCATCTTTTATTTCATATAATTTCGATGTTGAAGGCAGAATACTTGATCCTTGACTTGTTTTACGTTTTTTTAGTTTATTTTTTGTAATTATTTTTTTTTGAAAGGCTTGAATTTCAATTAAAATTAATGAACCTTATACTAACTGTTAAAATAAAAACAGTTTGTAAAATGTTCATTAATTATATGTATGAAAACCTTATTTTGTAAAAGATGATGTTCCAATTAAAGTTCAACCTCAACAAGAGATGTAGAATTGTTACAATAAATTTCATTACCAATTATGTACATAAGCAAACAAAACAAACATAAAATAACTCCCCAAATAAATCCAATGAAAAAAACAAACCAAAATACTTCTGTCCCATTAGGCATGATTTTCAGCGGGGTTGCACGGCTGAGGTGGTTGAATGGTAGTTTTGGTTTGGGGGGGTATTTAATGCAAATTATCTTGCCGGTAAGAGAATTATCTTACCAGTAATTAGCAACTCGATCTTCTATGATAGACATCCCTTTCAGAGTCCGGATGCGTCCGATCATCACCGAACAAAAATTTGTGCCGGCCTAAGAGCTGATCGCCGCCATAGATGAAGTACAAGATGAGAATCCTTGGTATTACGACGTCTGGAACTTCTTGGAGAAGGAAGAGTATCCACCAGCGGCAAATGCCAAAGATAAGAGGGCAATTAGAAGAATGGTTGCTCGGTTCATCGTCTGCGGAGGTAAACTGTACAAGAGAGGATCTCGGGATGCATAAGCTGTGTGTTGATGCTGGAGAATCCAAGCGCCTCATGGAGGCCACCTAATGGGACAGAAGTATTTTGGTTTTTTTTTTTCATTGGATTATTTGAGGAGTTATTTTATGTTTGTTCTGTTTACTTATGTACATAATTGTTAATGAAATTTATTTTAACAATTCTACATCTCTTGTTGAGGTTGAACTTAGCAAATCTCCACCACCAGTGGTTCAATCATCCGTTCTTGGTTCATATTGCAGTTCTCCACCACCAGTGGCTCATTCTTCATCTTTTATTTCATATAATTTCGATGTTGAAGGCAGAATACTTGATCCTTGACTTGTTTTAGGTTTTTTTAGTTTATTTTTTGTAATTATTTTTTTTTGAAAGGCTTGAATTTCAATTAAAATTAATGAACCTTATACTAACTGTTAAAATAAAAACAATTTGTAAAATGTTCATTAATTATATGTATGAAAGCCTTATTTTGTAAAAGATGATGTTCCAATTAAAGTTCAACCTCAACAAGAGATGTATAATTGTTAAAATAAATTTCATTAACAATTATGTACATAAGTAAACAGAACAAACATAAAATAACTCCCCAAATAAATCCAATGGAAAAAACAAACCAAAATACTTCTGTCCCATTAGGCATGATTTTCAGCGAGGTCGCACGGCTGAGGTGGTTGAACGGTAGTTTTGGTTTGGGGGGTATTTAATGCAAATTATCTTACCGGTAAGAGAATTATCTTACCGATAATTAGCAACTCTGATAGACATCCCTTTCAGAGTCCGGATGCGTCCGATCATCATCGAACAGAAATTTATGCCGGCCTACGAGCTAATCGCCGCCAGAGATGAAGAACAAGATGAGAATCCTTGGTATTACGACGTCTGGAACTTCTTGGAGAAGGAAGAGTATCCATCAGGGGCAAATGCCAAAGATAAGAGGGCAATTAGAAGAATGGTTGCTCAGTTCATCGTCTGCGGAGGTAAAATGTACAAGAGAGGTCATCTCGGGATGCATAAGCTGTGTGTTGATGCTGGAGAATCCAAGCGCCTGATGGAGGCCACCTAATGGGACAAAAGTATTTTGGTTTGTTTTTTCCATTGGATTTATTTGGCGAGTTATTTTATATTTGTTCTGTTTACTTATGTACATAATTGTTAATGAAATTTATTTTAACAATTCTACATCTCTTGTTGAGGTTGAACTTAGCAGATCTCCACCACCAGTGGTTCAATCATCCGTTTTTGGTTCATATTGCAGTTTTCCACCACCAGTGGCTCATTCTTCATCTTTTATTTCATATAATTTCGATGTTGAAGGCGAAATACTTGATCCTTGACTTGTTTTAGGCTTTTTTAGTTTATTTTTTGTAATTATTTTTTTTTTGAAAGGCTTGAATTTCAATTAAAATTAATGAACCTTATACTAACTGATAAAATAAAAACAGTTTGTAAAATGTTCATTAATTATATGTATGAAAGCCTTATTTTGTAAAAGATGATGTTCCAATTAAAGTTCAACCTCAACAAGAGATGTAGAATTGTTAAAATAAATTTCATTAACAATTATGTACACAAGTAAACAGAACAAACATAAAATAACTCCCCAAATAAATCCAATAGAAAAAACAAACCAAAATACTTCTGTCCCATTAGGCATGATTTTCAGAGGGGTTGCACGGCTGAGGTGGTTGAACGGTAGTTTTGGTTTGGGGGGGTATTTAATGCAAATTATCTTACCGGTAAGAGAATTATCTTACCGATAATTAGCAACTCTGATAGACATCCCTTTCAGAGTCCGGATGCGTCCGATCATCATCGAACAGAAATTTGTGCCGGCCTACGAGCTGGTCGCTGCCATAGATGAAGTACAAGATGAGAATCCTTAGTATTACGACGTCTGGAACTTCTTGGAGAAGGAAGAGTATCTATCAGGGGCAAATGCCAAAGATAAGAGGGCAATTAGAAGAATGGTTGCTCAGTTCATCGTCTGCGGAGGTAAACTGTACAAGAGAGGTCATCTCGGGATGCATAAGCTGTGTGTTAATGCTGGAGAATCCAAGCGCCTCATGGAGGCCACCTAATGGAACAGAAGTATTTTGGTTTATTTTTTCCATTGGATTTATTTGGAGAGTTATTTTATGTTTGTTCTGTTTACTTATGTATATAATTGTTAATGAAATTTATTTTAACAATTCTACATCTCTTGTTGAGGTTGAACTTAGCAGATCTCCACCACCAGTGGTTCAATCTTCCGTTTTTGGTTCATTTTGTAGTTCTCCACCACTAGTGGCTCATTCTTCAGCTTTTATTTCATATAATTTCGATGTTGAAGGCGGAATACTTGATCCTTGACTTGTTTTAGGTTTTTTTAGTTTATTTTTTGTAATTATTTTTTTTTGAAAGGCTTGAATTTCAATTAAAATTAATGAACCTTATACTAACTGTTAAAATAAAAACAGTTTGTAAAATGTTCATTAATTATATGTATGAAAACCTTATTTTGTAAAAGATGATGTTCCAATTAAAGTTCAACCTCAACAAGAGATGTATAATTGTTACAATAAATTTCATTAACAATTATGTACATAAGTAAACAGAACAAACATAAAATAACTGCCCAAATAAATCCAATGGAAAAAAC